TTCCTCCATTTCTGTCGTGACCTGTTTCTTTGTCTCCGCATTTTGGCTGCTTCCCTGTGTTGGTAGAGTGGCTTTCTGTGCTAGGTGTCCTATACGGCCCAGTGGCTCAGTCTCCCCAATTACCTGAGGTGGACACTCTTGGTGCACCCCTTTGTGGGCTTTGTGCACAGTCTTGTAGTTAAGCCTTGATTGTTGTAGGTATCACTGGGAGGAATTGACCTCCAGGCCAATTGGCTGTGAGAATCAGCTGTGTCTATGGTTGGAGAACTTCTGAGCTGGAAACTCCCTTCTGGGGCAAGATTTGCTTCAGTGGGGCTTTGGTGCTCACTGGGTCTGCCCCCTGAGTGTGTCCCTTATGGATCTGAGGAGTTGTAATCTGGATGGTCCCACTCGGACTACTGGGTGCACTGGCACTTGGATCTCTAAGGAGGTGCTAATTTAGCCTCTGCCTGAGGCTACCCAGCAGGAGCTATGGAGAGATCTGCAGATTCCTCTTCTTTGTTTGGGGTTTGGAGGTGCCCAAATGAGGCCCAGCTGTGAAGCAATGCAAGCTGCTGTGGGGCCTTGGGCCTTCTTTTGGATGTTATGGGTCTCTCTGACCCAGCTGCAGTTTGTTAGGTAATTGTAGATTGCAAAGGGCCAGGTCATTCATATGCAAAAGCCTCTGCCACAACTTGGGTGGGGTGGGGTCTCAGGGAATCAACAGGGCGGAGCAAACAGCTATGGCTGATCCTCAGTCCTGACCTAAAAGGTCCTGGGTCTCAGTGTCCCACGGTAATCGCTGCAAGAACCTCTGAGAGAACACTGCCCTCAAGTTCTGACTGCTGCCAGACAGTCCAATTTCTCCCCATATGAGTCTGGGTCCCCAGAGTCTCGCTTGGAATTGGAGTCTAGGGCCGTCGGGAGCTTGTATCTCCCTCCCGATTGAAAAAGACAACCGCGTCCTCGGTTGCCAACCCTTTCCGCGTGCGCCTCCGTACCTCTGCACTTTACTTCCGCACCTCCTCTGAGTCTCAGTGTGCTTTTCTCTTTCCTTCTAGTTGTAGAATTTCCACTCAGCCAGCCTTCCTGGGGTTCTGGATGATGTCTGTTTTGTCTTTTAGTTTTATTTTTCAAGTGGTTGTGTAAGGCAGCAATTTCAGGTGTTTACCTATGCCGCCATGTGGTTATATTGTTAAATTACGCATTATCAAGTGAACAAGATGAGAATTAGCAGCAAACAAACACTGAGTTAAGTTACAAGTGAAAAGAACATGAATTATATGTAGACAAAGAACAAATCTAGCCAAGGAAAATAAGCACAAAGCAACTAAAAAAAAATAATAATCAAAACACTAAAAACCACCAATAACACATGAATCCACTAAGCATCTCCAGTGATTGGGTGTCCATAAAAATGTATACACAACTTAACAGCTAATAGCTCAATTCTGAAAATGAAATGCATTTTAATAAACACTGCCTTAATAATCATTCAAAGTATATGCATATACTTTTTGGAATACCCTATATGTCTTTTCACTTTGTTTTGTTTTAATATATTTTTATTGATTTCAAAGAGGAAGGGGGGGGGGAGAGAGAGAGAGAGAGAGAGAGAGACATCAATGATGAGAGAAATGATGAGAGAATCATTGATCGGCTGCCTAGAGCCTGCAACCCGGGCATGTGCCCTGACCGGGAATCAAACCGTGATCTCCTGGTCTGTAGATCAACACTCAACCACTGAGCCACGCCAACTGGGCAGGATACCCTATATTTGTAAGGCGAATGAAAGAGGGAGAGAGAGGTCTGTATCAGCTGGGTGATTCAGTTGGTTGGAGCATCGTCCCATACACCAAAAAGGTATGTGCCTTGATTCCGGATCAGGGCACATACCTAGGTTGTGGTTTTGATACCCAGTCAGGATGCACCGGAGGCAATTGATTGATGTTTCTCTCATACATGTTTCTCTCTCTCTCTCTCTCTCTCTCTTCCTCTTTTTCTAAAATCAATAACATATCCTCAGGTGAGGATTAACAAAAAAAAGAGAGAGAAAGAGAGAGGTCTCACATGTAATGCTCAAAAAACAGGCCATTTAGCCTTAGGACAGAAATTAGTTAATAAAGACATGTATACCTGAAACTAATACAATGAGTATCAATTATACCTCAATTAAAAAAACACACACAAAAAACATGTACTGTATAAACACCCCTTCCCACTATTAAGAGAAATTCTAAAATCTAGCATGAACCTGTAGTTTGAGATGCCCTCACTGGTAAATAAATTAAGGATACATGTTACATTAGAGTTCTAACAGAACATGAAATCAATTTCTTCTATAGTAAATACAAATTCAGAAAAGGAAGTGCAGAGAAGATGGAGTGAACTAGTTAAAAGTTAAAAGAACAGAATTTATTTCTTCTGATTATTTTTAAAAAGTGTGAAAAGTATAAACTTTATACCGGATTTCTCTTTACCAGTAGCTTACAAAGGATTAATTATTATGGAAATTGCCCTTTAAACATAAACAACTAGGAAATGGACATAATATATGAAAGAACTGTTTTTCAGACACTGGACAACTGCAGTAAAGACCTATGATCACAGAGAGAAACAATTTGGGGGAGTCCTACCTTTGCCAGAGCTCACTGACTGAAGGAAATTTCCAAGCTGCAATGCAGGGTAAGGAAACTCACACAGAGCCCAAGAATGTTGCTGAATTGATGAGCTAGATATTGGAGTTCAGAGAGGCCAAAGAGGTAAGGATCTGAATAGCAAAATACAAAAGAAGAAAGAGCTGCACAGAAATAGAATTCTGGGCATCTGTACAGGAGTCCCTTGGAATATTTTGCAGAATAGTTATTATCTGCACATGTGGGTTGGAACTCTTTGAAGACAGAGAAAGAACTCTCAGACAGCAGCAAACTGAACGGAGCCCAGACAGAGCTGGGACTAGTTTGTGGTTCTACTAGGGTGAGTAGAAAGCCTTTCTTAATAAAAGGGCTATCTGGTAGAGTTCTGGAAAGCATACTGTTTTGTAATGGGGCTAAGAGGCTATTCTATACACCCCACTGAAGCTTAAAAGCAAGATTCAAAAGGATCAAACTAATCACAGGTAACTTAAGAAAGCATAAGAATAACCCTAGCTGGTTTGTCTCAGTGGATAGAGTGTGGGCCTGCAGACTGAAGGGTCCCAGGTTCGATTCTGGTCAAGGGCACATGCCCAGGTTGTAAGCTCAATCCTCAGGGGTGGCGTGCAGGAGGCAACTGATCAATGTACATGCCCAGACTGTGAATCAAACCCCCAGCCTTTTGGTGTCCAGGAGGACACTCCAATAACTGAGCCACCCAGCCAGGGCAGTACAACATTCTTTTAAAGAAACAAAATGAGGAGGAGACTCAAGATGGCGGTGGTATAGGCAGACGTGTCCCAGGTCTTGTCCCGGAGCAAATGGAGTAAGCAGCTGAAACTAATAACACTCACCCCGAATTGGCGAAATTACTCAGCTGGTGAGACAGTTTCCAGCCGGGAAGGGCAAGGTTCCCCTGGAAAGGTAAAAAACCAGGGATCTGGGCAGGAAAGTTTGCCAGACCTCTGAGCCCAGAGGGTCAGAGGGAGACCGTGTGGCACACAGCCGCATCTGTTGGGACAGGCACAGCCCCTGACTGGGGGAAAGGAGATCTGCGGGACTGTTGGTGCTGGGGGATTTGAGATCTGGGTTCCGTAATTACAGAGGACTGAGCCTAAAAGGGGCAGCCTGAAGCATTGACCAGACCATGCAGTGCAGGTAAGAGGAGCTTACAGAGACTCAGCCTTCCCCATTTCTGCGGCCGGCGTTTGTTTGTTTGTTTTCACTGAATCCTGTTCATAGGACTTTTCGGATACAGACACTCACCCATGCTGAAGAGAGGGAGAAGGTGTGGATGAGTGGAATCTGGGGAGAGGCTGAGGAGA